AGGGGCAGGAGCATCTAGCGGGGTCTGGGCCGGGACCAGAGGCGATGCTTTAACACGCTGGAGATGCTAAAACCGGAGGGTGCTGAGCACCACAGCAGCCCTTGGTCTGCGTGCGGCCACCCACGGCCGAGAGCCGCTGCCGTGCCCTGGCAGAGCGGGGCGTGCTGACTGTGTCCTTTGAGGGCACCTGCGGGACGTGTCAGCTGAGAACTGCTGAAGTGAAACACAGCCCTGCCACCTGAACTTGTCCCCCGCCTTTCCTCTCTTCGTTCCTTTCAGGTGGGTCTAATCTCTGATGTACAGTCTTAAATACACAGGTCAAACGGCCTGCAACAGGTGATCTGGAGAAGTGCTACTCTGACGGACAGAGGGCCCACAAAAGTCATCACTGAATATGTGTTCCCGACCTGGCTTTAAAGGAAAAATGCTTTTAGTAAGGGACAGAGGTGTGTTGTTACACTATTAAATCGGCATCAGATTATTGTGGCCTGTTGACACACTGCAAATGAGATGCTGAGAGACTGGGAAAGGTTAAGGAGAAAGCTATAAGAAGTTTACAGATTCTGAAAGTATCGTAATGGTCAAAGATTTAGAAAATTCAAGCTGATAAGGCTTATCAAAAGCAGTTAAAAGAGGATTTAACATCCAAGTACCTATCTGAAGAGAAAGTCTTAGATTGCAAAGGTTCTTTTCCTCTAGCAGATAAAGGTACAGTATTTGAATTGAACATAAAAACAATGTACCTTATTTTTAGTCTCAAATAGGCTGTTTCCAAATAACCACTGGAACACGTTACTTATTAATGAGACACAGTGAATTCCTATATTATGCAATCTTTAAATTAAGACTAGATACTTTAGTAAAAGATGTGCAATACTGTAACTATAAAATATGGGCAGGAATTACAAGAAACATGCAAATGGGACTACAGGATTTCCATTCTTATGCTCAGGTTGTTGCTAGTGCTGGTACAGCCTGTCACATATTCAAAACACCCTGCAGTAGCTGGCTAACAACTCACTATTGCTGAGCACAGCATGGTCAGCAGGAGGGAAATCCATCAGTCAAACTGAGCTGTGACAATGTTAATCAAACAAGGAATTCAGCCAGGTGAAATGGGTTACAGAAGAGCTAACTAGCTCATTGCAGAAATGAGGCAGATGGTAAATGAAGGAAGTTACCAGTTTGTAGACTCAAGTGCAAGGTTGTTCTGGAGAAAAAGAATAATCTCTGAATCAAGCAGCTGTATGATGCTGCTTCACTGAATTCCTTCTCTACCCAATTGACCTGACTTTGTGGATAAGCCTACTGAACTCGAGGAAGCTATTTCCCATCTTCGTTTACGTTGTAAGAGCGACTAAAAAATTTTGGAGTGCTTTGCTCAGTGCATCAGCTCCTCTCCTACGTTACTTTCAATGGCTTTATTGATTTGTCAGTTTCCGTAAAGCTGGCACAGCCTAGCACAACTGGGAAAATACAGCACAATTTGACAGCTCAGCTTATAGCGTTCTAGCACGGCAGACCCAGCCCAGCGTAATACAATTGGTGCAACACAGCAAAGCCGGAGCAGCATAACGCAGGCAGTACCACATGGAGACTCTGGCACAGCACAGAACACCAGCATAGCACAGCATGATACAGCTGGCACCACATGGCACAATGTGAAACAGCATGGAGCAGCATTGCATAGCTTTTGCTACGCAATTCCTGTTTGCATTTTTCACCAATTGAACCCGACATGCTCAGCAGCTACGATTGCCCCTTTCTCCAGGCTGACGACTGAAGTTCCAAGTACCGCAGGTGAAACAGGGAAGGAAGAGACATCGAGGCTTTTCCTTAAGATGCCATGAGATTTTGGAAGGCCATAAGACAAACTGGGAAGTGACAAGGGTTCTGTTCAGCACCAGTGACACTTGCTGATCCGTATGTTAGGACACAAGCTGATGGATTTGGATTTCTTCCTGTGCCATGTCAGGTCCAGCTCACCAAGTCCTCTCTTCAGCTTACACCACGATGTGCAATTCTAATTACAAAGCATCACAGTGGTTCATCTGTGCAGGGGGAACCTTAACAGAACAGGAGGAGTTGTATATAAAGAGTGGAATGTGGCAGATAGGAAGCTGCCCCAGAGCTTTGCAAACCGGCTCCTTTCCTCCCTTCTGTAGGTATTACCGGCTGGCAAAGAGGAAAAAATAGCTTTGGGACCTGTAGTGAAAAAGCCTGTCATTTCCAGAGGCAAATTTACCAATTTGGGGGGACTTGCAGCAGCTTTGCATCTTCACAAACACCATGAGCAAGGGGCTGCAGGAGTGCTACCTCATGCCCCCACTGCCTCACAACTTTCTGGCTTGCTGCTTCAGGAGTGAGGACCAGAACACGTATTCTTGCTTGGTCCCGATTTCTCATGATGCGCATGTAATTTCTCGTGCTTGTGGATTACTCCTCCACTTGCTGTTGTCTTTTCACAGCACAGCTAAGGCATATACCTCTCATGGACTGTAAAGATTCAGTCAGGAGCGAGTGGCCTGGTCAGCCCTGGAGGAAGTTCGGTCAGGAGCCCCACAAGTTTGTTCTGGTCTGGTACACTTCCCATCCTCTGTCGTGCAGGGGAACTGCTCTGTCCCAGACTGCAGTGAGGTGACTCACAAGGGAGGAGATTGGTATTTGTGGAAAGCATTTTCCAGGAAGTTAGCCAGCTTTTCACAGTCATCCTAAAAGAAAAGAGAAAAAAAGCCAAAGGATTAATTTGGCTTGGCTACCTTGGATGTCTCTTCTCTTTCCTTACATAATTCCATCCCAAGCCATCAGGTTTCATATCTGAGTTTTAATATGGGAAAAGAACACTTTGCAAGCACATCTGGAACACACTACTATTAATTGCTCATTTGGTGTTATTCAGTAAATATGATAATCAAAGAATGGAGCCTTATTGTGTCAGGTGCTATATAAATGCAAAAGAGCCGACTGTTCTTTGGCGCTTCCAATCTAAAAGAGCAAAACATGTCCAGCTTTTGTTTAATTTAAGCTTAATTAATATATCACTGGATTTAAAGTTATTTTCTATGGCTAGCTGTTCTATAATATCCTCATTGCTATCAACAAGAAAAAGTAACATCGTTTTTTTGTTGACTTGGCAACTACTTTGCACAGAAATCTCTTTTCTTACACATTCAGGAGTAGGTGGTTTCTACCATAATTAGTAGTCTTTTCACTGAGAAAGAAGTTACCCAAATACACAATGGTAGGTAAAGGGGGCAAAACAGCCTCCCTTTATGTCGTACAGGATTTCTGGAATTGCCAGAAACCGATGTGAAATTCTCACTCAAATTTAAAAAAAAAGAGCTAGGTGTTTTACTGCTGCTCAGAGGCACCCTTTTGTCATTAGTGCTGCTAAACTGCCTACCCAATACTACTTTTATTTTAAGAAAAAGCTTGGATTTTGAAGACAAGATTTGTAAGGTATAGCTGATACATCGTTAGACTAACCACTATAGTTGGAAAACCAGATGAGCAGTTGGGTACACAAGTCCTTCAGATCTGAAATAAGCAGGATACTTCTAAGCTAAACACAAGGTCAGGACATTTGCTGAGTTTAATGAGATATGAATCAGTTATACCATCTGAGAGAAAAGGTAGTTGGTACCTGTGGAGTAGAAAAGATGTTAGAGAAGGGAAGGCATGTTAAAAGGAGGTTATCTCCTAGGAGAAAGAAGAAGAAAGGTAATTTACAGTCTGTGGAACACAGGCTAGTGAGGTATATTTTACAGCACTAGATTGCCCCAAATGCCATGTATTTTCCAGAGGACAGGAGAAAGCACCCGAGTGTTTCAGTGCCAAGCTGCACAGTCACCATGCTCAGATGAAGAAAAGAATAAAGTCTAAATGTATTTTTTGCAGGCGTACTCACATAAATTTTTCACTCTGTGAGGCTGACCCCCGTCTTGTCTAATGTCAGCATCCATAATGTCAGTATGAGGAATTCTCCAAACTTTGCCTATAGCCCCAGAATTCCTAACTTTTGCAAAGGAAAAATAAATGTATCTTTAATTTTCTCCATGCTGCCTTTCCTTGAGGCTTTTCTACTATTTTAATGGCTGGGCTGATCTGCTCTGAACTGTTTCTTGGGATTGTATCACCAAGCAAGAGCCTGGAAGTACAGTGTTGGGGCAGGTGGTCTCCTCTGGCAGGCAGAAATTTGCAAAGTTGACTTAACAGCAGCTGTCTAAGCAACACTGGCTATGGAGGCAATTCCTCTGGGAGATGGGAGGTGACCTGAACTTGCTGAGCTTGGCAGCTCTTCCGGTTTTTCACATCTCAGAACCACTGCAAGTTTGATGTACTTAATGCTGTGACCTTGTCATCACACTATGGCCACCCTTCAGAACAGCAGCCTGGAGTCAGGCATGAGCAAAGCACGGAGCAAAAAAACCAGTTCACTCACTACAAGGGAGAGTGAGTATAGCACAGAGCTACAGGCTGGCCCGTGTGATTGCTCCCTGGCTGCTAGGAGAGGAAGGGAATAGCCCTTATTCCTCTGAGGCATAAGGTGTCACTCGGATTTGGAGACTGCTGTTGGAAGCACAAGGCATGCACAGCTGAGATGATGAGGAGCAGCGAGCAGGCTTACCTCATGGATGAATCCATAGTGCACCAGCTCTGTGGCCAAGTCCTTGGAATTATCAGCTGCAGAAACAAGGAATGGTGAGAACAGAAAATTTCATGCATCTCTTAGTTCCTCTTCTACCAGTAAAGAGCACCTGTTCTGACACACAGCACACCTGCATTCTGCTTTGCAGACACATACTATAAACCTTTGGTTGGCCGAGTAACTGCTAAGTAGTCCTGGGACAAATAGAGCACAGAGATGAGCAGTGAATGACTACTGCACAAAGTTCTGGGCAGGAACGAGCACCAGCCCCAGATCAGGCAAAGGATAACAGTTTTGGCAATGTATCACGGAGATTTTTTTTGTTTGCTTTGGCTCAGCATGAAAAGTAGGCAGGCCACTCCCTGTAGACAAAAAGCACAAGAAGCTGGTGAAGTAGCAACTCCCAAGCGTGACTTTCCAAGCTTTATCTTTTAGTTTGGCTGCAAGGCAGAAAGGGGCTCGTGCATGTTTTAAGGAACCTGCTGTGCTGGACATGCTCTGAAGACCCTTCCCCAGAGCCACAGGGCTCCCTCAGAGGAGAGTTTGCCTTCTCCTTTGAAAGGTATCGTGGAGACCGCATCAAAGTTGGGAAATGAGAGAAGAACTGACCAGTACAATCCTGACAATTCAGGGTCACACATTTAACAGACATGCAGGGTGACATGCATATTCCTGATGGCCCAAGGGTTTACTCTAGGGGGCAAGATAGTAACACATGTCAAAGGCTGAAAGCTCAGTGTCTGAGAGCACAAGAACTGGTACACGGATGTTATGGTTTAGTCTGCTCTCCCAGTACAAGCAGGAAAGAAAAGCTGACTGTAAACACAAGCTGTGGATCCAGGACCTCAGTGTCTCTAAGTCTAAACCTGACCAGGGCCATCAGGCAATACTTCCGCATCTATGCATGAAAATGGAATTTGCAGTAAACCTACTTGGCAGCAAGTCATAGCTCAACTGTCGATGCAATTTGTCCTCCAGGATCAGCAGGAGAGTGAGCTGCAGAAAGAAAAGAGCGCGCTTTACAGACACCCGTTTCTCCATAAAAAAGGCAGGTGCTGCCTCTTCGGACAGTTTGCATGTTTCAGGGAAATGTTCTCTCAACAGTCACAGCTAACCTTCAGCTGTTAAACTGGAAAGAAGTAGAGTTAAAAGATGTCCGTACAAAGATACCGAGGACTTCAAGTCCTGCAGCCAGAATGGTGGCTTTGCTCTTCTTAGGCTTTCTTTTATTATAAAGGGGCAAGATCAAAGGTGACAAGTCTTTTTTGGGAAAGGAAAACTGTGTCCATGGAACGCTGTTAGCTGGAGGGAAGATTTTGATCAGAAGCTCTCTGGCCAAGAGAGATACCTGCTGACTGGAGATGAGGAGCGGAGCTGAGTGTAGGCTCTGAGGCTCTCCCCGGCATGTGAGAGAAGGATCCTTCCTCCTCTGCCTCAAATCACAAGCCTTTGAGGCTGAATGCAGGATCTTCCCAGGGCCACATCTAGATCGTTTATCTCTTTGCTTGACCATGGGAACTGAAATGTGTGAACGGCCAACTCCTGCTGCATGAATGGACATAGTGTCCATCGAGGTAGGCTGGGTGCATCCTAGAATGTTTCCGCTTAAGCTGACAGCTGTTGCATGCTGCAGCTTATACATGCCTGGATGTGCTGGCTGCACGCATGCAAGAGCCACTTTGGACAAAAAATGTACTGCCTCATGGGGAGGAGTTCACTTAGCTCTGTGGAAGGTTAGTGTCACTTGTGAAGGTGATTTCAGTCAAGCAGCAGAAAGGCTGCATTTTGTTAGCTTACTGTGTATTTCTGTATGCAAACCTGTTTACAATATAAGGCTGGTTTCTTTCAGCAAAACTCATAGCATAGACCAGTCATATGTATCGATACTGATGATTTGCATTAGCATCACTTATACACAGCAGGACAGCCACCAGTTCACTGAGAGACTTGTGTCTCTCACCAAATCAAGTTTAAAGTGTGCCTGGCCTGATTTTAATCTCTGAGCTGATCCTCATTCCATGTCTCAATGGCCTCGTGCGTTTTCTCTTAAACACTGTTCCTTTACTTCACTGGGCAGAGAAGTCTAATTTATGGTAACTGCCAGGATTGCTTTGCTTGCTGTCTAGAAAACTGGCAACCAGCACTACTGATCACTTATCAGCCATAGTAGCTTTGTTATTATGTGTTATTAAGAGTGGTCCTCTTATTGCCTGGCACCATCCTGCCCACCGCCAGCTCATATGCCTCTCCAAACTCCTCCCTGGACTGCTCTCTCCTGCTTGTGATTGTGCTACTACTGAGGCACCTGGAGGAACCTTAACTGTATTCAGTAGCTGAGCTGAAGGGCTGCTGGGGGAGATTTGTCACCTGATTATTCATATATTTACAAAGCCCAGAGGAAACGTTTTCACAAATCTGTTCAACTATCTGTGTCTGACAACTCCCACATCTCCTACTAGGCAGTGAGATTGAACTACTTTGGCATTCTAGGTCCATGCAGTCCCAGCATCCCAGTCTCAATACCGAATGGGTCCTTTGGGTACTGGAGCAAAGCAGCGAGACCAAAGTTCATCCCAATCAGATACTGGGGATGCAGGTCTTGCCCCAGCGCCTCGTCTTGGTGGGGTTAGTGGAGTTGGTGGGGCTGATTACGTACGTGCCATTGAGTCTTGTCTTCATTCAGCTCCATGTTACATTGCATTTGCACCACCTAGAAGAGGCCAAAATAAATATCATCCTGGCTACAGCCCCTCTAGCTCCCTCAGTTCTGCTTTACTTATGCTCTCAGAGATGACTCTCAAATTCTTGCTTAAACCTCATAATCCTAACAGCCAACCTTGTCTTTCACCTCTCTTCACATTTCTAGGAATTGTGCAGGTGGAGCAGCTGAAGGTTTGTTTAGTCCAATATCCAGTTGCAAACTGTGCCCACCATCAGCTGATTAAGAGGGAGCCCCGCAAAAGTTGCAATTCTGGAATAACTGTACAACCAGGATGAATTCTTCTGCCCCATTTGTCAGGGGTAGGCTTCCCCCTGAAGCCCTCTCCAAACTGTTGGTTACGTTTTAATATGGTATTTGTTCATGTCTTTATGGGATGAACCAATCTTAAATCTAACAAAAGAGAGAAACTGAAATTTCAAATATCACTATAATGACATATGGAGTTTCTTTTGGCAACCCAGCACGGCCGTTTGAGTCACAGGACAGTCAAATATGTTAGATACATACTGCTTTTTATTAATATGTCAGCTTCAAGGTTCTATGAAGTGACAAAATACCAGAAGTCATACTGTTCGCAAAAAAGGAAAACCAGAGAGACAGCATGCAGTTGATCAGCCCAGCAGACAGAAAACGCCAGTAAGGAATCAACATTCCTATTCCACACAGACTCCAACGGTATTTCATTTATATGCAGACAAAAACTAGCTCCTGAAGCTGTGCATATGAACTAACAAGTTATATATAGTCTCCACAAAATAATCATAAACTAAATAATCTGTTTGTTGAAACTGGTCTAATTTTTTTCTCATCCCACTGAACTCCTGTCCTGGCAGATAACTGGAGGGTTTGTTTTCCCAGGTTAACTGTACTGTGCATTCCTGTTCCTCCATCTGGAGCAAAGCTCAGAGGTGACTTATATGCTTGTTACTTCCTCTGTCGCTCTACCCCTCTATTACAGCTCCTCCCTATAACGAACATCCCCAGGCTTTTAGTTCTCCCACTCAGGAAATTCTCTGGCTTCTGACCTTTATCTTCTCCAGACCATCCATTTCTCCTCCAAGAAGGGCCAACTGCGTACCTAGGGCAGGCACCTTGTCCTTACACTGAGTGAATCCAGTACAGTGTCTGGCTGTGCACTCCTTTGTTAATGGGCCAAATTACACTGAACTGTCTAGCATCTTGCAGGTTTTGTCAAAGAGGGGGCTGATATCTGAATGCATCACTGCCACCTGCCCCGAGCTCTCTCTGCCTGATGGCCCATGATCACAGAATTATTCAGGTGGGAACGGACCTCAGGAAGTCTCTATTCCATCCTCCGCTGCACTTGCTCCAGTTTTTCAATGTCTTTCTTGCATTGGGGGCCTGAAACTAAATGCAGTGTCCAGATGCAGTATAATAATGATGGCGTCAATGTAACTTTGTTCAAGATAGTACCACGGATGTATTGCCCCAAGCCATTTTATTCACGTTCTGCAGCATATGGGCAATTTTTAACACCCACAGAGAATGAAGGGTAGATGGCATTTAGGATGATGAAGAAAACAAACTATTCCAGGGAAGCATTGTGGGCTTTCAGCCCAACTTTCTGGCCTACCTGATCACAGCAGGAAGGCACATGGACTAAAAGGAGCAGCTGTACCACACTAACATGGGTATTTCTATTCGTTGTCATCCCCTGCAGCCTGCTGGTTGATTTTTGATACAGCTCAAATATTTGTTTTTGGAGCACACGAGCTGATAATAGTTAGAGTGGGCAGAGCTGTGAGTGTGTGCATACCCACATGGGATCACCTGTGTCTGTTATCTCTTCTCAGAACTGCTTGCTAAATCGAACTGCGCTGATGAAGTCCCTCTCTCAAACTCCCTAGCTGTGATACCTGCAAATCACTAGGCCTCTGGTGTTGAAGCCACTACAAATCACAGCAGCCAAAAGCACCTTCTCATTGCCTTGGGCCACTCTCCCCTAGCCCAGCGGTTCTCTAGTCTTGTACCAAAAGGGTGAGCTCCCAGGCCTGGGAGTCATCCTTTGCTCCGTGCAAAACCTAGACCATTGTTTCACATGTACTGCTCCTAAGTGACGGCAATGTACAGTAGCACACAAATAGTAATATATGCTTCTGAGATCCTTAGCAACTCATGCTCTGCTGCTGTGCTGGTACCCTGACCTCCTCCTCAGCAAGAGCCAATTCCCTGTGGGCTGGCAGTGCACAGAACTATGGTGCTGGCGCAAAGCTCTTCACAGGTGATACATGGAGCCTGAAGGGCAAAGGAGGTAAATTAGTAGTTGTTTAGGTTCGAGAAAATCCAACTGGATTACAGGCTACCAGTTATTCAGAGCTATTAGGACACATCCACACAGTACAGAGACCGTGAATAAGTCTTTTGCCAATCCAAGCTGAGGCACCTGCATAGGATAATGATGCTACATCAAGCACAGAAGAAGCCTAGAAACCACTCTGCTCCACATGGATTCTTGCCCTGGGCATGGTGCCTCGCCAAGACAGCACCAGGGATTCTGGTGTGGGAACTAGTATATTCTTTGCCTGCTCATAAATCTGTAGGAGTGCCTACACTGGACACATGCTCCAGACCTTTCCTCTCTCCTTTCTCCAGCACTATGGAAGACACTACCATCTACCCTACCACTCAGCCATGTAACCTGGGCACAGTCTCTGACTCCATCATCTCTCTCTAGATTCTCCACTGTCAAAGAATACAGAATACAAAATAAGGTATTTTCCAACAGTTTGTATCAATTATGATTACTTGAACCTATTAAAATAAAGAGATATAGTGCCAGATTAGTCATTTGTATCAAAAACAGCTCTAACTAATGACAAAGACAGGTAGGAGTTCCCCAGAACTGGTCTGAGGATTCATTTGCACAAAGTACTCTCCAGGTGACAGAAGGCTCAACTGTGACAGAGGAATCCCTATGGGGTCCTGTTCTGAGGTGGCAGCTATGGCTGATATTGATGGAGCGGCCATGGGATCAACAGCTATGGCAATACTTCAAGGAGTTCAGGAGCGGGCAGGATAGCAGCATCATGGCATATATTTTCTAAGTCTATCTTATTTTTGTTATTTCTAACTATGTTTTCTAACATAGTAAGTAAAATTCCTGTCTAGTCAGGAATGTAATCCTTTGCTTTGCTGGAGTAAAACTAGTTTTCATTTTATCTAGTGGTTTAAGGAGATTCAAATGAGTCTCTAGACATAGGGCACATTGATTTCCTGGAAACAGCGGTCCAAATAAGTCCGTGTTGCAGCCCTTTGGGGCACCTCTAACCAAAGACAAGTTTTAATATTCCAGAAAATGGGCATGGGGAGGGGAAGGGGGGATCGCTCATCAAACTGAAGAGATCGATGTCGGAGATGGCCACATTAAGTGCTAGGAGATGGGAAGCATTCCTCCTGGTGAGCCCTGACCAGTAACTGTCTGGCAGTGAGGCAAGCCAGAGAGACATGTCTTCAGGACAATGTCACGGCAATGCAATGTGGCAAGAAGCCAGAAGAAGCAGAAAACACTCTCCTGCCAGAAGAAATATAGTACAATTGGTCTAACCCAATCTAGTGTATTATTTCCATAATGGAACGATGACTTGTATTTAGGAAGCCAAAAGACTCTAAAAACTCTTTTACTTTAAGTGAACTGTTGTTAACTCATAACCATGGGGTCTTGAATGTGCTAAAGTACCTCTCAGGTGGAGGCGCTCCAAGGGTCTGTGCCCAGTGGCATGACTGCACTTGGTATCCAGATCACTGATGAATTTCAGCTGTTCTGATCGTCGTGCAGAGCAGAAGTCTTGCATTCTACATGCCAGCTGCCCATTCTCTCCTTTGGTGTCAGCACAGCTGACGGTAGTTGGGTGATAATTTATCACTTCTCACATGCAACTGAAAATAAATTATTTCTGGTAGCACCTATTTCCAGCCAGACCATCTAGCTGACCTCACACGTCGCAGAAGTGCATGAAATGAAGCAGCCAGGAATGTGATGAGGGCAGAACTATCCATTTCTGTGGAAGGGTTGTCACAGTTAAACTATCTGTGAAATTCAATTTTAGTGCTTTCAGAGCTACTGTCCCACAACTGAGGACGATTATAAGTGAATTTCACCAGGAGGAGGAAAAAAAAAACAAACAAAGACTGCAGAAAACCTGACTAAAATTCAAAGCTACTTAAAAGAAAAATTCTCAGTTGGCCAAAAAGCCTGATTCCATACTTTAAGATAGAGGACAGCTAGGTAAAATCCCATCCAGGGTCCCTGGCAAAGTAGAAGGTAAGTCAGAATCTCAAGCTGCTCTGCTGCAGCAGAACAAAGGGAGTCTGGTTTCCTACGGATCTGTACTCTACACCTTCCAACTGCTTTTCCCTGCCTTCTCTGCATGCCTTCATGTTCACCCTCATGCCATACTGCAACCACCTTTCAACACATTCCCCACCTCTGGGGTTGAGCAAGTGGCAACACGTGCTGTGGTGGGCTGGGACCCCTTGCTGTGCTCACCAGCAAGCCCACCCAAGCCCGGCGCTCACTGGGCATCTTGCTGGTGCCTCCCAGCAGAGAGGAAGAGTCTGCATTGTAGCCACACTTATTTGAGACTCTCAGGTTTGCCTAGCTGCAAGTTTTCATGAAATCTATAGAAACTCAGTGCCTCTGAGATGACTATTGGGTTAAAACTATGTTTGTTTGTTTTTTTTTAATAGTTGTTGAACTGATCTGGTCAGACAGACAATGCACCTGGAGAACACTTATTTCCTCAAGGCACTAGGTGAAAAAGTAACATACAATAAATGGAAAGAGGGGGAAAGACAACTGTGTAGGTGCATGTTTACCTTTCTCTAATCCAAATGAGCACCACAACATTCTCATTAAAAAATAGCACCGTGCAGTGTGAATAAAGCATAAGTTAAGTGCACTGAAAGCTGATTCTCTGATAGATGTCAAGAAACTGCTGCTGATGTAGACTTCTTGAAGGGACACATCTCCAACGGATCTTGCAGGAATGAGAATTAGGTTTAGCCCTACACAGCAGTTTGAACATGAATTCGATGCAAGTATGAATTCATATTTTCCACAGTAACACGAAGACAGTGGTATAGGTGTTTAATGATAGGGGCAAGCGGTCACACAGGGAGCTGGGTCACTTTGGAAGGCTGACACACTCAGGGAGTGGTACTTCACATAGCTACATGTGATGTAATACATTTTGGAGCAAGGCATCAACATGCATCTTAGAGCTTGGTCAGGGCAGTAGGGGGACTCGCCCTGATGGGATTTAGGGTCACAGTGAATAGGCACTTGAGCATGAGCTCCTGGTAGGATGCTGTGGAAAGAGACAACTTGTAAGAATAGATGCAAGAATGACACAGGGAAGGAAAGGTAGAGTATCTCACCTTTCCATGAAGCATTGTTGAGAAATGGGAGGACATACAGGAAGCAGCCATAAAAATGATTTGAAGACTGAAGAACGTGCCCTCCACACTTAAAGAGTTGATTCCTTTTAATTTATAATAATGAAGAATGAGAGAGAACTTGTCTATAGAATAAAAGTGTCATTATAGGGAGGAAATAACAGATACAAAATGTTTCCTTTTTTTAAGAAACAAAAGGTGCATACAGACCAATATGAGTTCCTCCGACTGCTCTCAAAGGTGGCTGGCAGTCAAGGAGACAAAAGCCACTGTAAGAAGTGTTGTGCCTGAGCTGCACCATGTCCTGATGATGGGGGCTGTCTACACCATATGCATGCCAGTGAAGGACATTTACCGACTCCTGCCCTTGGGAAGGAATAATCCCTGGGAAGGACACAGGCTAGGACTGCCTGGCTTATGAGAAGTTCTGCTGGAAAGACCATGGGGATTGTGGTGGGCAATGAGTGGCATATGAGCTGCAATGGGCCCCTGGCTGCAAGGAAGGCCAACAGCATGCTGGGCAGTACGAACAGGGGTGCAGCCAGGAAGCTGAGGGAAATGATAATCTTCCTGTACACAGCTCTTGTTAGACTATATCTAGATACTGCATCAAGTTTGGGGACCCCATACGTGAGAGACATTGAAAAACAAGCAAGTTCAGTGGAGGGCCACCAAGGTGATACAGGGCTGGAGTGCTTTCCCTGTGAGGAGAGGCCAAGGGAATGGTGGTTGTTTAGCCTGGAGGAGGGAAGGCTTTGGGAGGATGTAATAGCAGCCTGCCCATACCTACGAAGGGGTTACAGAGAAGACCAAGGAGCCAGGCTCTTTGCAGAGGTGCACAGCTGGAGAACACGAGACAATGGTCACAAATTGAAGCAGGGGATGTTCTGGACAGGTACGAGGGAAATTTTGTCACTGTGAGGACAATTAAGCAGTGGACTAGGGGCCCAGAGGGATTGTGGGGTCTCCATCCTTGAAGGTTTTCAGGATCCAACTGTGTAGAGCAACCTGGTCGGAATTCATTGTTGGCCCTGCTTTGAGCAGGAGATTGGACCAAACACCTCTTGAGGACCCTTTCCACTGAATGACTGAAAGACACAACAAGACCCAACACTGGAAACCAAGTCCAGAGCAGTCTGAATGGGAAACATGGTGCACAGTTCCCTCCATAGAAGTAATTAATCACTGGAACCTGCTCCTCAGAGAGATGATGGTTTTGTAATTTCAAAGTGTTCTGAAGCCCAAGCTGCCCACCCTTCCTGAAAACTAGCCTTAGACAAACACACATTATGCCCTCAATACAGGGACACTGGGTGAAATCCAAGAGCCTAGAAGACAAAGACTGTCCTGGAGATCCTAGACCTAGCACCATAAACTCTGACTCTATTACATTAATAATTTAGTAAATCATGAAAGAAGCATGCAAAAGTATATGCTGCCATCACAGAAAATTAGGTCGGAAAGGGATATCAACATGCCATCCTGACCCAAACCAGGCCCACCATTCCTAGGCTATTTCTGATATGTTTGTCTAACCTGTGCTAGACTTCCAGCAGTGGGGAATTTGCCTCTCCTAAGTTGCCCTACCATGAGAAACTTCTTCCTAACGTCCTTGCTACAGTTCAAGCCTGTGACCTTTTGCCCTGTCACCCAGGTGATGGAGAACAGGTGTATTTTCTTGCTACAACAACTATTTACATACTTAAAACCATCAACCCATCCCCACTCAAAACCATCAACCCATCTCCACTTTGTCTTGTCTTCCTTAGGCCAAACGGCCCCAGTTCTCAGGCTTTTTTAACAAAGCAAGTTTTCTAGCTTTTGTTTTTCAATGGATGCCTCCAATCAGCCTACATTTTTCTCAAGAGTACGCTGCCCCACGCTGCAGCATTGAACAAAGCAAAGGGATTACACTATGATTTTGGAAGGTTTCAGTTCGGCTTAAACACCCCAGTGTTTTGTCTTTTCTTGCCTTGCCACCTTCCCCAGCACCCCTCCCTCCGCTCCCATGAGCTTCCTGCCTGCAACTTCAGTGTCGGGATGCAGTCCCGTCTGTGCAGCGCCAGGCAGAATAGCGCCTGGTCTCAGCTGGCATCTCGATATGCCACTGCGGTGTCAGTATCAAATGATGGTGGGATTTCAAACCCACATCCCAGCAACAAGGCCCAGAATGTACTGTGCCACAGAGCTGCCTGTAAAAATGAGAGGAAGTAACGCAGGGCCAAAGAATCAGAACCAATAGGGCTGCTCTGAAAGGTCCCAGGTTAAACTGACTGTACTAGTTCCAGCCAAAGGGAGCGTCAAAGTCTCAGAGCAACCAATGCAGTGAGGAGAAATGCTCTCACCTGGATTGCACTTCAGTGCCTGGCCAAAGGGAGAGGCACTCCTGGACCAGAGAGTGAAGACTTTCTACCTATTACCAGCATGGAATCTGTCCCCACCTGGATATGACCTTACCTTCCTGGTCTCCACATCAAAGGGCTCTGGGGTGGGAGTCTTGGCTTTCTGGGGGTCCTCCTGGGGCTGGGAGAGCGCACGTGGGAGAGCGTGGGGTCTGGATACAGCGAAGTTCATCAGGGGGTAAATCCCATTCCTGTTACAGAGACGGAGAGATGACAACGAGCTGAGCCCTGCACTCTGTTATAGCCCTGATGAAGGCCAGCCCTTGGAGGGGCATGGCAACAGCCACAGCCTCGACCAGAGATCTGTACCAGAGGAGTGACGGAGCTGGGAGGCAGGCAGCATGAGGAGGAGGCGCCAGGCCCCAGAGCTCACCTGACCACTGACACTGCTGCCCAGCTGCAGCCCAAGCATGGGCAATTGCAGAGGGGGGACTGAAATAATGACTGGGTACTGTCATACAAATAGGAAACTCCACATGTGCTGCAGCACAACCCCTGGCCCTGGCACTTCATACTGCCTGCGGAGTTGAGGGCAGAGAGGCACTGGGGACCAGAGCAGGACAGACGTGTTACAGGTCAACCAGCACTACGTACACATGTGCAGTTTGGGCTACTTCTCTTCCAGAAGCTGAAACAGTGCCAGGGAATGCTTCTGGACACTGCAATTTGATCATCTGTGGTTTTAAATGGTTAACATGGTCCCTGGCATGGCTGGGCCTAGACCCAGCTGCCACCCTCCCAAACGACGCTCAGAAGTTAGTAGGGACCAGGCAGTTTAAATGTAGCTGCTCTTCTGGAGAGAAGGAGAATTTAACAACGTGAACCTAGGCTGCTATCTGACAGCTGGCCTCAGCAACAGGGAACAGCCTGACATTTAACTGACTGGTACAGACACAGTAAGAGGGTCTGGATCTCTGAGGCAGAAGCAATCACATGCCCAAAGAAGGGGGTGTGTGAAGGGATCCCAGGGACATTCCCACAACCCACCTGACATCCTCTAGGAATTTGTCAAGTTCAAGGAAGGAGACCTCTGAGTACCTAGAAAAGAAACAGGACGGGAAAATCACCTGGGGGAAGCAGGAGAGAAGAGCAGTGTGAAGGACTACTGCCATGACACCAGGATCACCAGGCTGGCTCCTGCCTAGGGCTGCTCCGAGATCTCCCCCCCCAGCCCTCACCTCCACTGTGCTCCAGGCCGACCCTCTCTCCGGATCTCTGCCATCACCATGTTCAGGTCCAGTTCCTTTATCTTCTCCTCTACCACATTCTCTGGCATCAGATCTAGGGCAAAGGCAGAAAGGGGCATCAGCTGGGAGCTCCTGCATGTCGGGCTCTGCAGCACAGTCCCCAGGGAGGATCTACAAGTCCATTGCCTTTCTCTCCAGGTTCTCCTGCATCCCTGGCTGTACTGGGGAAACTGTGGGAGTACAAGCTCAAATGGGGCATCGTGGTCTCTCCTGGTTACTCACACTGGTTGTTGATGAAGCAGTGTGCTGCCAGCAGTTTAAGGGAATGGACCTCAAAGAGCACCCGGTGGAAGAGCAAGTTATTAGCTGTTGGCCGCTTGTCTGGGTTGAGGGTCAAGCACGACAGAATGAATTCCTGAGGGTCAAAAAAGAGGCATGAGCTAGAAGCAAAGCAGGACTTTTCCCCTGTTTCATCCCCGCCGCTGCCAACCCTCGCTCCCTCTCACACTTGCATTTCCCTGGGAAGCAGATTTCAGTGGCTGGTTCTCACAGCAGGCCGCCTCACACAGGGCAGGCAGCCCAGGCAAGCAGGCAGTGTACAGCGTGGCCCAGGCTGAGGGAGCAGTTCCCACCCCTCCTGGAAGCAGCAGCGCTCGTGGTGGGCTGCATGCTGCTGGATATTCAGAAATAACCCGGCTATAGGATCTCTGCTCTCTGCTTGGTCTCATCCAGAGGAAGGAGGACTCTGCAATGCAAACCTAACAGAAGCCTATAAGGAGAACAGGCAGAGGTGTATTTTGGCAGCCAGCCAGAATCAGCTCCGAGAGCAGCAACCCACCAGGGCAGACGCTGGTAGGACTGGAGAAGGGGCAGGCTGAGGGAGCTGTACGGGTTCATAACAGTGGCAGGACGGAGCAGATGCTGGCATCTGCCCATTACTGTTCCTTGATGGCAGAAAAGCAAGATGCTCTGCCCTATGCAGTGCACACTTCTGCACGCTCCATTCTGGGGCCTGTCCTCTTTAATTGCTTTGCGCAGTTTCTGTAAGGGCTATTCAGAATAGACAAAAAGATCAAGCAATGATCAGAGGAAAAATGACAGGGTGGGGCACCCAGAAACCCTAATCCCTCTGAATCAGCTGCTCCTAAAACCATCAAAGATAGAACAGTGAAGCCATTGCGCCTGGTGCTAAGAGCTCAACTGAAGAAACTCTCCCTGGAACACCATGTAAGCTAAGGGAGACTACTGCATAAAGGGGGATAGGACTTGCTATGGGATGCCTAGGAGACTTCTGGGATAGAACAAGAGAATTTAGGTATGTACAAATTTATTTTGGGATGCTTCAGGGACGGGCCAAAGGAGGAGAAAGGGAGGGATCAAAGTGGGTCTGGGAGGAAAATGGAGGAGGATAAAAGGTGCCGGCTGCTTGTAAGCAGGTTGCTGGTCCGTACACTTGTCCAGCTGAGCCCTGCATCTGATCACCTCGGTCTATCCTGTTTGTCTATTAAACACTATTCCTAAATATTGACAGTGTAAATTTGCTCTCTATCCCATGTGAATGTGTGTGTGAGATTCTCCAATGAATTTCAAGCTGAATTAGCTGGTAAGTAGAATGAAAGGTCTGGAGCAGGCAGAGGCCAGAGAGACCACGGGGTAACAGGAAGACGTGTGGGACAGGGCTGAGAAAGAGATTTCCCTGAGCATCAGTCCTCACACCCAGGAGCTGGCTATTTGCGCTGTCTGTGTTTATGTGAGTGTCAGTGAATACTGCTCCCTGGTCTGTTGAGCCGTTTCTGTGTCTGTACAAAGCGTGTGTGTGTGTATGTGCACACGTGTGCCTATTGGGAATCTGCACTCAACCTCGCTACTGGCAGGACTGGGAAAGAGCCGTAAGGACCAGCCTCTCATCTTGACCAGTCCAGGAGGGGAGGAAACCCTGTGTCCTTCAGTTCATGAGACGTGGCTAGTCCTAAGCGCAGTATACCATTATTCGTAGTGGTATAACCTTGTGCTTTATCCTGGAGCACCCAGGAATGTCAGGCTGCCTCCACTGGGATACCATCTGAGGGACAGGACATTCATGGGAAGTTTTACACTCCACGAAGGATGCCTGAGCTCCATATTAGGGACAGGCTACAGCCATGTGGCTCTGCCCCTGGGGCTCAACCAGCTACACTCACCCGCATGTTGGGGTCATCCAAAGAATGTCGTGCCCGCACGATTGCCTCCTCTGAGACCCGTGTGTCCCCATTGGTCTGGATCTCCAGCACTGCCATCTGCAGAAGAAGGAGTGTAGCCGTGTCTCCATGCAACGAGCCTGAGCCAGTCCGCGAGGGCTTCCCAAAGGGACTTTTCCCTGGCAGGGAGGCAGCTGTAGCGCTCCTCGCCAGGACACACAACCGGACCAAGCCTGTCTCAGGCCCTGGTCATGACTCTGGGCAGAAGACCCAGATCTCTGGTGCTCCCCAGTGCTTGCTGGCAGCTGCCTCTCTGCCCCTGGAGCCCACGGCCCATCTATACAGCGTGCCAGCCTGCTCTCGGGCTCCTGGCAGGGCAGACACTGGAGGCTGCACTCGGGGTACCACACAGGAGGGCGGGCAGTGCAGATGACCCGCAGGCTGGCACAGACTGCAGTGAACAGCGGTTCTGCCCGGCAGCGCCTGTCCTCCTGGGAGCAGCACGGTTTGTCCCTGCCCTCTGTGCCATCCCTTCCCAGGGCCATCACAGCCACAGGAGGGAAAAAAAGAGATGGCTGAGAGGCACCAGCTGAGTGCAGGACAGGGTGAGCTAAGCCCATCGCTGTGCTCAGGGCAGAGTGGGCCACAGCAGCAGCAAATGTTCCACTGAACCCAGCAGTGATGTCTCCAACACCGCAAGGAAGCCCTCAGCTCAGAGCGAGGTGGGGAAAGGGCAGGAAGACCGCTCCAGGAGCTCCCCAGGCCACACACGATCCCCAGCGGGTTAAGCCAGAACAAATCTACCCTGCCCTGAAACTATGGACCATGTTCAGATCCCAGGCTCTGTAGTAGTCCTGCTCTGTACCTCCAGTGCGCACATCCCAAAGGAGAAGATATCCACAGCAGTCCCATCAGCCTTTTCTGCAAAACCAAGCCAGAGCCACATCAGAACAGGGTTGCAGGCTACAACCTGTTCAGACTGGGGGCACCTGCTTGCGCCCGTGCTTCATCCCAGCACACATCCCCATCCCCGCACACCCCTCCTCCCGCCCCCGCACACCCACATCCCCCCATCCTCATCCCTGCACACCCACACCCCTCATCCCTGCACATCCCCATCCTCATCCCCGCACACCCACACCCCCCATCCCTGCACACGCACACCCCGATCCTCATCCCCGCACCCCCCCATACCCGCACACCCCCATCCCTGTCCCTGCACACCCACACCCCCCATCC